CTGTCTCAGTGGCCCCGAGGGATGGAGCCATGGCCTCAAAGCTTGACGACTTCAGAGATTTCATCAAAGCACAGGTCTCCCAATTGCATCAAGAAAACATGCCAATTAGAAGAACTTACAAGGGTGAATACGACTTCCAGTGAACAGGATAGTTACAACTTCAGCAAAGCAGCTCACCTAGGAACGAATCAGAAGTTTTTCTCAAAAGCCCTTGCTGTGTTGGCTGTGGATCCAAGTAAAATTAAGTCACTGACAACTTCTATCTTTTCTCCATCTATCATGGAGAACTTACTGGTTCAGTGGTGAGTGGGTTACCTCCGCGCAGGCGCTGTGGAAGGCCTTGTGAGTGAGCTTGGCGTCAGCAGACGCGCGGTCTCTCCTGCTCAGGTGGCCACATGGCGCTCTTCCTGGAGGTCACATGCCGCCTGCTCTGCGGGGACCTGCGCGCACGCGCCTGGTCTCAGTGCCCGCTAGGTGGCGCGGGTCTCTGAGCGAGCGCGTTTTCCCAGGCCAGGGGTGCACCAGGCGGGCTGTGTGCTGGTAGCATGAGCTCCGGGGCCCACACGTCCAGGGCGTGGCCACGGAGCTGGTGGCGGCCGCTGGGGCAGAGGGCGGGGCCAGCGACCTGGACGGTGCAGCCGGAGTCCCCAGGTCCCACGGCCCGCTGCGCACCATGAGGACCCAGAGCCACTGAGAGGTGTGGGGAAGGCCACAGGCACCGCCCTGGGACAGCGTTCTCGGGAGCGCGCGGGGAGCTGGGGTGGGCACGGGATGGGGAGGAGGGCGGGGAGCCGGTGGGTTCCGAGGAGCCAGGCCACTCCACATCTCGACCAGCTCTTGGAGACCTTGCCGGGCGTTGTGCCCACATGTTCCCCTAACTCTCAGCGGAGAGAAGGTGACAGAGAACTAACCCAGTGGCCCAGCCCGGACAGTGCACCCTTCTTTCTCTACAGTGTACATTTCTAGAATGTACATCTTTGACTCGGGCTTGATTTCTTCTTGCCTGTCCTGAACTTGGGTGCTAGGATCCACTTAATTTCTTTAGTACTTCAGCATTACTGCAGAGAATAAGACTGAGTTATGATTTTGCCTCTGAGTTTGATTTTGGTTACCACACCTCCAGATTTTGCTGCCTTTCACCACCACCAGCTGGAGAAAGATTTGGGGACTTAGATGCTCCAGGACGACAAACAAAGATCATTTGGGAAATGGAGGATTATGAAATTCAATTTGGTCCTGCCACTCAGCATTCATGGCTGCCAACAGTTTGGAGTCTTTTCTTAGGTTTCCAGTATTTTCACTTACCAGAAGTTTAACAGTACCTCTCTCTCTCTCTCTCTCTCTCTCTCTCTCTCTCATTCTTGCTGTGTATGGTTGAGTCAGATCCGACTGACACGGGAGGAGATTGCCCATCCTTCTCCAGAGCAGTACCTGGTGGAAGTATAACAGTATCTTTGAAGGTCCTGGACCTGCACTAGAAACCTAATGTCCAGAACATGTGGTCTCCCTCTAGAAGCCACCGGGATGGCTTCCTGCCATAGTAAACATGCTGATTTGCTTGAGAACCAACCTGCAAACACTAGGGGAGGAATGTTGTGGCTCATCGATCTTGTTTCAGATCAGTGAAGAAAAGTGCTGAGACAGTGCTTAAGTGTTTGAGACCTGGGGTGATTGTTACTAGCTGCCGTCTAATCATCCCCTAGCTCCTGCCAACTCCACTCACAACAAAATGAGACACTGCCTGCATCGTTGTGGTCCACAAGTTTCCATTAGCTGATTTTCTGAAATAGATCATCAGGCCCTTATCCTGGACCATTAGCCTGGATGCGCTGCTGAAGCCTCTTCAGAAGTAGAGAAGGAGGCTTTTGTGAGCAAGCAGTTGACTACCACTCTTAACAACCCATGAACAACAAATACGCACCTAGCCCTATCCTGTGCCATCCTGATGATATTCTCAGGACGATTATTATAGTCACTGGATCAGTCCATATTGTTGAGGGTCTTCCTGTGTAGGGCTATGAATTTTGACTCAGAATTGTGAGGGCAGTCCACTGGGACTCTGCTTCAGTTCACCGGCAGTGGTATATACAGGTCAGGCAGAGAAGCACATACAGATAATCCCTGGGTTACACAGGAGATCTGTTCCTAAATATGCCTTAGGTCTAACAGTTAAGTTGAAACAGGCATATATAGTGATTACTCATTGTTACTTTAGCGCAAGAAAAGATTCAAAGTCTCAATGATTTAAAAGCTAGTTACATATGCAGTAAATTAAGGTTATTGGCAGGAATTTTTTGTGAGTAGAGGTCAAGGACTGTAGTTTCAATATAGATTGAAGCTCAACAAGAAGAAGACAAAGATTCTCCCCACTGGGCCAATTGGCAGCATCGTGATGGATGGAGAAGAGACTGAGGTTGTTAACAGTTACAGCTTGCTCGGCTCCACAGTCAACACTCTTAACACCAGCAGTCAGGAAATCAAAAGACAAATTGCATTGGGGAAATCTGCTGTCAAGGACCTCTCCAGAGTGCTGAAGACAGACGATGTCAGTCTAGAAACTAAGGTGTGACTGACCCAAGCCATAGTCTTCACAATTACTTGCTATGCATTAGAGAGCTGGAAAATAACTAATGATCACAGAAGAAGAGTTGATGCCTTCAAGTTGTGGTGCTGGAGAAGAGTCTTGAACATACTATGGACTGCCAAGAAAACAAATAGTTCTGCCTTGGAGAAGGTGAAACCAAGTTTCTCCTTGGAGGCTAGGATTTTGAAGCTCCATCTCACATACTCTGGGCACATGGGTAGGAGAGACCAGTCCTTGGAGAAAGACATCATGCCCAGAAGGGCAGAGAAGATGACCCGGATGAGATGGATTGATACAGTAACTGGCATAATGGAGTTATGTGTGTCAGAATCAGTAAGACTCCCTCAGGACAGGGCAGGATTCAGAGTAACTATGGATCACAGGTGACTTGATGGCACATAACAACCACCACCACCACATTTTGTACATTCAAGTATAATACTTGGAAAAATCCCTTAGAAATTGATACTAGTTGTGTACTGTAGAGTGGGAACCAACGCATAGCTGACCCTCCTGTTGGTTTTCAGAGGCGGTTCACTGCACAGGAGATTGTCGAAAGGACAGGCTCCACCCCGGCTCTCCTTTCTGGGTGATACTGATGTCCCATGCTGAGACGCACTGCAATGCGAAAATCTGCAGTTAGGCATCTTTCCAAATTATTGAGGAGTAGTGATGTCAGTTCAAGAACTAAGGAGCATCTGATTCAGGTTATAGTCTTTCCGATTATGGGCTATGCATCTGAGACCTGGACAATGAATAAGAATGACAGAAAAATAATTGATTCATTTGAGCTGTGGTGTTTGAGAAGAGCACTGAACATCCCATGGACGGCCAAAAAACCAATAGATATGTCTTGGAGATGATGCAGCCAGAGTGCTCTTTGGAGGCAAGAATGATGAGACTTTGCCTCACATACTTTGGGCTTGTTGCTAGAAGGGGCTATTCCTTGGAGAAGGACATGATGCTGGGAAGGGTGGAGGGTCAGCAAAGGAGAGGAAGACCCTCAACCAGGTGGATTGACACAGTGACTGCTGCAATGGGCTCTTGAGTCAGGAAGTGTGAGGATGGCTCAGGACAGGACTGGGTCATGATGAGTTGTACTCAACTCGATAACGCCTAACAATATGTGTATTTCTGCATATGAAGCAATTGCTTCTACCCTCATGTCTCTCCAACATGCTCAGCCAGTGGGGCTGCCCTGGACTCTCTCTGGTTAAAGAAGACCACACAGAGTACCCATGCACATCCTTGCACTGCTAGTCACTGTTATCTGTCAGCCAATAATCCCTGGATGTCCTGGATTGGTTTGCAATGTCAGGCACTCTTGTAGCCTGGGGTGAGGATGTTCGCAGCGTACACACACACACACACCATTGTGTGAGCATCTCAGCTTCAGTGTTATTTTCAATTGGTTTCCCAGATCAGAGGCCAGTCTGACCTCACAACCTTGGGGGTAGAGACAGTGATGCTGCTCACCAGAGCTTGCACCCCTGGCAGGCTCAGGGCTGGAGTGGGGCTGGCTGAGGTGACTCAGTCTCCCCTGAATCCAGAGTTCCTTTAGTACCACCCACTGCAGGCACATGAACTCAGCAGAGGATGGCTGGTTTTGGCACACCAACCCCCTCGTTTGTGGTCTCCGCTTGTGCCTAAAGAGCCTCACAGGCAGCTTGTAAGAGGTCTTCTGGAGCACCAGTTTGGCTACGGTGAAATGGAAGTTCTGCTAGTTTTACCAGCAGATGTGTCCCCAAGGTAAGGATAACTCATGCCAGGAAAGAGGTGGAGTGCTTTTAGTCTGTGTCTGTGGGCTGCCTAAGAGTTTTCTATTTACCAGACTCCCTTCAATGTGATGGTTAAGAACAAACACCAAAGGTTAAGGCTGAAGAACTCATCCTTAGAGGACAAGGTTTTCATCCTTAGAAAGCAGGTTTTATTTTTTTAAGACCAGACCAAAAACACTAAGTGCACGTGAGATTCTAAACACTAAGCCAGTTAGACTCACAAGGGTTTGTCTGAGAGAGACCTGCAGTCTACTGTCAACAGGAAACCACCAAAGCGGGTCTGTTGCTTGTGGCAGCAGGAGGATCTGTGCTTGTCTATGGAGCTGTCCTGTGTTTAGATGTTTGTGAGAATGTGTGAGAGGAAGGATGCAGGTGGGAGAAACCTTTCCAATCCTCTTCTTCATTTTCTCCATTCTAATGCTCTCTGGGTCTGCCTTAGGTGAGGGCCAAATGATCACGGGTCATTTTACAAAGAACTTGACCATCAAAGAACCCAGTCAGATGGAGAAGAGATAAGACATTGGTGCTAACGTAGTGGGGCATTGGTGGGGAGAAACGGCTGGGTGTCCTAGAAAGAGGCTGCACACGAAGGCAGGCACTGGACTCAGCGGAGTGTGCGTGGAGGAGTGGAGGCTGCGTTAGTAAAGGCTCGTCTTCTTCATGATCCGCAGGAACTCTTGCTCACTGACTTCTCCGTCTCCATCTCGATCTGCCTCATCAATCATTTCCTGTGTGACAGTAAGGATGTCAGGTTAAGATTCCTTCACAACCTCTACACAAAGAGTTGATTAAGCAGGAAGTGTCTCATCATGCCATGTCACTAGACAGTGGAAGTCCTTCCTAACATTGTAAAAACATGAAAGTTTGTAACAGGTCAGCTCCTAACAAGAAGTGAGGGGTCTTTTGTCACACTTACCTCCTGAAAGGGAGCACCAAGATCCTGAACTGGAAACAGGAAGTGCAACTGGACACATCTGGGTCCGGGGAGATTGGGAGGGGGTGTCTAGAGGTTTGTAAGATTATCAAAGGAGGGCTTAAAAGGGCAGCTAGAGGAGGGGAAAGGGGATTGCAAAAGAACACTCACTTTCTCTGAAAGAAGAGCTCATAGCAGAAAGAAAGGTAACTCAGGATGCTCAAGGAGGGCCAGGGCCCGAGGCCAGTGGGAGGCTTTTTTAGAGCTTACACACCTGAAGTTCTTCATCAGTGAGATTCTCGCCCAACTCCTTCGCCACGCGTTTCAGATTTTTGAAAGATATCCTTCCAGTCTCATCATCATCAAAGAGTTTGAAAGCTTTCAGGATTTCTTCCTTGGTATCTTTTTCAGACTTAACAAGGAGAGCAGAAGCACTCGTGAGTAGAGACAACCTCAAGCACCACATGCCACAACCCAAACACCTTCTCTTTCAGTTAGTTAGCTAGAGCCTAAACTTGGGTCAGGTCTCAGCAAGCCCACTGTGACCTCAAGGTCAAGGCAGGCTTTCCAACCAAGTTGATATCTATCTGCTCCCGATCCGGTTCCAAGTTCAGAAGGAAGGGGTATGTGTTCAATGTCTGTCATGAATGGAAAGGTTTCCTCTAAATAAACATGTGTAGCAGATCCTGTATCTGTGGCTAGACTCCCATTTGGGAATGAGTCTCCCTTGTTATGTCAATGAAGCAGAATTGGCATACTGTGCTTCTTGAGCCAATCTTCTTTTGAGTCATAAAAAGAGCAGACTGAGCAAAGAAGCAAAATAGGAGAAGGAGGGGAGGACGATGCCATACCACAGAAGTTCACCAGGAGTCAAGGAAAGCCTGGCCCGTGGGGCCACTCCTGGGACCCTGACCGAGCCACCTGTCTCAGGGGAAGGACACTCCACACATGAGCCCAGAGGACAAAGACATGGTCCCATGGACCACTCAGGGAAGGGAGGCGACCTCTAATATTCTCCCAGCCTTTTGAACTTTTTTCCAAAGTGTGTGTGTGCCACCCAAGGGTCTTGGGCTGGGTGATGCCAACTTTGGAAGCTCTGAAGAAGCACAGGGCTGATGCCTTCTCCATGTGGGCTTCCTTGGGTGCCCCTCAGACCTCTGAGGCTGCACAGAATGAAAAACTGGAGAGAGAAGAATGCAGTACTTTAAAAGTCTAAGGATTGTGATTAATAGTGCCATCCAGTCTTAATTCAGAGGGGGCCCCAATTTTTAATTTTGGAAGTTGACAATGGGAGGCAGGCACTTTGCATTGTAAAAAGCAAGATGATTCCGGATTGAAGGCCATTACAGCTCTGAACTGCGTGTGTTTCTGCCTCTAGACTTGAGCAAAGCCAAGCAAATCCCAGGCAGGGAGAAATTCTTTCCTTTACAAGAGGGATTCACCTGCTTTTACTGTCCTCACTGTAGTCCTAACCCCTACCTAGTGTCAAATCCATCCACCGTTTGGACAAACAAAAGGCTGGTGGTCTCAACTAACTTACCATTTTCTGAGTCATCACAGTCAAGAAATCACTGAAGCTCATTTTTCCTGTTCCTTCCTTATCAATCTCACTGATCATTTTCTTGATTTCTTCTTTCTTGGGCTCAAAGCCCAGGGCCCTCATTGCCACCTGCAGCAAAAACAAGATGCCTCTCAGTAGACAAACTCATGCTGTCAGAGCTAAAGTGTTGACAGTGCTGATGATAACCTGATACGGTATAACGTTTAATGACTAGGGTAATGAACTTAGTGGACGTTCGTGCTGCCAAGTCCGAACCAAGCCTGAGCTGAGCCTCCAGCGGTCCATAAACTGCACAGGAGGAGATGCCCATCCTTCTCCCGTGGAGCAGCTGGTGGAGTCAGACTCTGAGCCTCTGCGCTGGCAGTGCAGCTATGTACCACCAGGTCACTGGAGCTCTCTGATCTAAATGACACTAGCCATCAATTTTACTTACTAACACTTGAGGCAGGTGCAAACAGAAGGGGGGAGAAAAAAAATCCACCTGAAAAACCAAACCAACCAATGTATTCTCTACTGGTACTTCTGGCAGAAAAACACATGTGGCAGAGGTGACGCTAACGGAGATAGGGAGAAGGTGTAGAAGAGGTAAAAGAAGGCAAGGTACAGAGGCAGAGGAGAGCTTGCCTTAAGTTCTTTGACGTCAATGGTGCCATTTCCATCAGCATCAAAGAGATCAAAAGCTTCTCGGATTTCCTGCTTCTGCTCTTCCGTGAGTTCAGGCTTGGAACTCACCCTCTTTCGCTGGGAAGTTGACGCCATGCTTGTCTTCTTAAAGCTGGAGGCCTTTAGAGATACAAACACTTGGGCACAGTTGCATATGACAAAACAACAACCACTTCCAGTTGGTTCCGATTCAAAGTGGCCTTCCATCAGGTTTCTGAGACTGGGATGGAATAGACTGCCCCTCCTTTTCCCAAGGAGCTGCTGGTGGATTTGAACCACTGGATATTTGCAGGCTTTGGGAGAGCAGAGCAACTCACTAGAGAGGCAGGCCACGCTTGACATAAGGCAATTACAGGCATAAACAAAAGAGCCTAAGGACCTAACATGAAGCTGACCTTGACTCATGGTGGTCACATGGGATACAGAAGAGAAAGACCCCAGAGGTCTTCTCATAGGCCAGCTTAAACACAAAATGAAGACAATTAGGACCTTGAGTTTATCCCACCTGAATTTAAAAACCATCTAAGAATAGATTATTTCATGGGCTGAACATTAATGACCAAAGTCCAGAAAAGTTGTGGGATGACATCTAGGACATCATACGTAAAGAAAACAAAAGTTCAAGAAAAACAGGAAAGAAGGAAAAGACCAAAATGGATGTCAGGAGAGAATCTGCAACTTGCTTCTCATCAGAGATAAGCTAAAGCAAAAGGCAGAAATGATGAGGTAAGAGCGTTGAACAAAAGATTTCAAAGGGCAGGTCAAGCAGACAAAGCAAAGCATTATTACTAAGTGGGCAGACCTGAAGTTACAAAAGGGAAAAGGAAGGCCATACTGATAATTCCTCAAGCTGAAAGACTGAAGAAAAGTTCAAGCATCAATTTCTAATACTGAAGGATTCTGTGAGCAAAATCCTGAACATGCAGAAAGTAGCAAAAAAAAAAAAAATTTAAATGGCGCACACAGAGTCACTATACCAAAAAGAACTGCACCATCAGACCGTTTGAGGGAGTTGCACATGATCAAGAACCAACGTTACTGAAGGAAGAAGTCCAAGCTGCACTGAAGGCACTGGCAAAAAGAAGGCTGCGAGAAGAGAACTGCTAACAATAAATTGAGGTGCAAGCCTAGACATGCTCATAAGTCTATGCCAAGAAATTTGGAAGACTGCTACCTGGTCAACCAACTGGAAGAGAAAGAACAAATTCCTGGGAAACTCCATATACCCTGTCACCTCCAGTCATCCAGCAAGGTAGAACGAACCAACCGCACACTTAAAAACATCCTGACTAAATTAGCTTTCCAAAGTCACTTAGACTGGATCAAATTATTACCCCTACCCTCCTCAAAATTCAGGTGGGCACGACTGAAAAAACCTCTCCACCTAAGCTCCTTCCAACTCCTCTTCGGACTACCCTTCCTGCCACTGGCCTTCATCCCCACACCCTCTCCTATCACACTCCCTTCCTCCCCACTACTCACGCATATCCAAAACAAGCTATGGACCTATGCTGACTCTCCTCTCCCCAAAACAGCTTCCTCTAGCCAAAATACTCCATCTTAACAATGGAAGATACTGTTGACCTCGTCACACCCAAGACTTAACATCACTATAGCCCAAATGGTCAGGCCCTTTCACTGTAATCCTGGTAACCCCAACCACAGAAAACCTCAAAAGACATTCCACCTGGGACCACATACCACAATTTTAAAAAGCATCTCCCACTTACCATTCTGTTCTTACAGGACCCACCAAATGAAGAGATCCAAGTTTCCTCCAATTGGTGAAGAATCAGACTCCAGTGCAGTTCAGTCCTTATAAGCCTTTCCAGTCTTTCTTTCTCTCTTTTCATTACTAACTGGGTCTCAGCATTCAACCCTAAGTACCACACACACTGTAGATCAGTTGTTCTCCTACACCACTGATCTCTGGCTACAGGAGTCCCTGCAAGACTTCACCCCTGACCAAATAGGCTTCTATACTTTCTGCCTATTCTTCCTTCTCTAAATAGAAGATCTCCGCCCTCATCGTCTTTTCTGTAATGATCAGTAAAACCCTCTCTGAGCCTGTCCTCTCTATCATTAATAGTTCTGCCTCTCTGTCTTCCAAGGGAACCCACAGCGGTCCTCTTGCTGGGTGTGGACCCGGCCATCCAATACAGATTGGATTATCACCCACACCCCAATTCAAAAGTGGACCTCAACCAAGGCTCTCCTATTTCACTCTGCTTACGGCTGGAGACTAAGGTGCACCTGATCCAGGCTATAGTCTTTGCAATTACATGGTATGCATCGGAGAGTTGGACAGGGACTAGGGATGATAGAGAATTGATGCTTTTGAGCTGTGGTGCTAGAGAAGAGTGTTGAATATACCATGGACTGCTAGGAGAACAAACAGGTTTGTCCTGGAGAGGGTGAAGCCGGGCTGCTCCTTGGAGTCAAGGATTCTGAAGCTTCGTCTGACATACTCTGGGTAAGCAGGGACTGGTCCTTGGAGAGGGACATCATGTTTGGGAGAATGGAGGGACAGCACAGAAGAGGAAGACCCTCAATGAGATGGATCGATTCTGTGAGTGGAGTGGTGGGAATGAGTGTGTTTGAGACAGCGAGGTTGGTACAGGATAGAACAGTGTTTAGGGCTCTTGAACATAGGGTCGCTATGAGTCGCAAGTGACTCGATGGCATATAACAACAACAATAACATGGAAAACAGGACTATTTTTCACCAGAGATCCTCCCAATCAAATGCCCCACATGTGACCTTCAAAGCATTACGTATTTTCCAAAAAGCCCTAAATCCTTTCCCCAAACTTCTGCCCGACTCCCAGGTGCCCATCATTGGGCCTACTGCCCGAGGGTTCACACAAATCATCCCTGACCTATGTCTATCCAGGCTGTCTTTTCCCCAAGGAATTCCGTAGGGTCATATTCCTCCTACAAAGTCCTTATCCAAATTCCCTCCTCCCACTCTTCTAACCAACTCATATTCCAGAACAACCAGAGCATAGGACCAGTGGGGAACTTCCATCACCCCAACTTACCTCATACACCAAAGTTTTTACTCCTCTTAAGATTACCACACTTAACCTAGACTCATTCTGCCTTCTGCTCAAAGAGAAGCACAGACTTCTCTCTTCCATGACTTAATAAAAACTCCCTGTTGTTATGTGCCGTCGAGTCGCTTGCAACTCATAGCGACCCTATGTACAACAGCCCTAAACCCTGCTCTATCCTGTGCCAATCGCACTGTCTC